AGATTTTCTTAAATCAATGAAATTTACTTTGTTTATCTAAAAAAAAAAATATTTATATATTAAATTATAACAAAAAGGTGATCTGGCTTTTGCATCCGCTCTTAAGAATAACGAAACAAGACTTTCTATTTCGACTTTCGTAATAAAACTTTCAAGAAATATTTTATTAAATTTCTAACTTAAAATTTTAGAAAGGATCTTAAGCTTATACTGCTCCAGAAGTTTACTAAAATGTGTATAAAAAACTGGTAAAATTAAACTATTTTCTTTATTTATTTTGGCTTGAAACCGATTTAGTTATTTTGATAATTTTTTGTTATTAAAATCATTGTATTTACTAATATTTATTAAATTAAAACTAGTCTGATCTGTTTTCTGTCGGAATTGTTTTGCTAGAACTTGATAACATAGCAACTTTTGATATCAGTAAAACAAATCTTGAGCAAAAGTTTGAAACAAAAAATGGATAAATCTTCTAAAATTTCAACATAGATAGATAATCCCAAATCTATAAGATAGTCATGCAATGCCTTAAATACGAAGTGGACCAACGTAAACCTGCAGTTGAGCTTCTAATTTAATTCATTGTTTAGAACTAATAATACTTAAATGTAGATGTTTTTACATTATTAAATAAGGTAAAATTATTTAAATTCATATTTTTAATATTCATTTCATTAATTTCTTAAAAATTAAAGTCTCAATTAAAGCAGAAAGCTGAATAATTTAACCAAATTCAAATGAGTATAGTTCAGAAGAAGAAGAAAAATGAAAGTGAAATCTTACAGCTATCTTAGATTTATAATGTAAATAAATGCTTATAAAATTTTAAATTAATGTTATTTATTATTTTAGAAAGATTTACACTTAGAAAAGCTTATAAAAAAATACGAATAATTGGAAAGAAAGCCCTTCGAAACTTATGAATATTAAATCATTCTTAATGATTTGCAAAAAATCACTAAATTTGATCCTAACTTCGAATTCATTTCAGTTGGCGCAACTGGATTAGTTCTTGGGGTATTCAACAAAGCTTAAAATAGGTACTCAGCTCTTAAGATATAAAGAGCTAAAAAGCATGAAGTAGTCCGCGAAGTTGGTATCATGAAGGACTGTTAAATGCCTCTAGTCATTAAATTTTATGACTATTTTTACTTAAATGTGAATAATTAAGAAGATTTTGTGGTATATGAGATAGAGAAGTGTTCTGGTAATTCAAATAAATATACACCTACTTTAAAAAAGATTCGGAAAATAAATATATTAGAATGAAAAAATTATAGTTCAAAACTTTTCATTCTAATATATTTATTTTCCGAATCTTTTTTAAAGTAGGTGTATTTAATTACTTTACAATCATTTATTTTTTAAATTATAAAGGCAACTTAAAACAATTCCTAAATAATTTAAAGAAACAAAATAAAGAACTAGATGAAAATCAAAAAATTAAAATAGCTATCTAAATCATGGATGTCATTAATTATCTTCATATTCATGATATTGTTCATAGAGATATCAAATTAGAAAACTTACTTTATGTAGAGTAAGATCCTGAAATCCCAACAATTAAATTAGGTATTTTACTTACATTTTTTTGTTAATTTTAATAATTTTATTTTGAATTTTCTTTTAAAATAGCTGATTTTGATTAAGCTAGAAAAATGCCTTATAATTGGTTGAATATTAACGGAGAAGATGTTAAATAATACTATCCTATTGAAGGAGCTGTCAATATACTATTAAAAATTAGTTTAAATTTATTTTTATTTTTATTTTATAGTGCGGGACTATTGGATACTGCCCACCAGAATTAGTCAGAGATTTCTTATACAGTTTTAATGTATGATAATAATATCTAAAATTGTTTTTATGACTTATTTTTTATAAAGAGTGATATTTTCTAAGTTGGAGTTTGTCTTGCACTTATAGATAATTTTGAAACTTTAGAACCAGTACTTTTTAAAAAAAGTCTCGATTATTTGAACAACTTTTCAATCCCTTTTGAAGTAAAATAACATGATTAATAAGAAGTTGTTAAAAGGAATACTAAAATTTATGATATACTGCTTTAAACTGTTATTTTCAAACAGCATAAAAGGTCCAATTTATAGCTCATTTTAGATGATTTTTCTAAAAAAGGGTACCAATACCATTCAAAAGTTAATACAAAGTCAAATTAAGTATTTATAATTAATCTATGAATTCCCATTAATTATTTCTAATTATTAATTAGATTATACCATCCATCTATTAAAGGGTTCTTTCTTTAAATTATTCGTAAATATTTTTCATCTTTTAATCTTAAATATTTTTATGTTTCATGATATTTAGATTAATTCATATTTAATAAGCAAACAAAATTTATGTTCAGATGGGGCGAAAGCAGTTGCTTTCGAAATAGCTAAATGTACTAAACTTTCCACTTTAACCCTCGATTTCTAGTAATTTTTTACACATTTTCTCAATTTATAGTTTAAATAAATAATTAAAGAAATCAAAGAATTAAACAATATTTATTTATTTAATAAATTAAGTATTTTTGTTAATTTTAATTAGCTCTAACAACATAGGTTCAGATGGGGCGAAAGCAGTTGCTTCCGAAATAGCTAAATGTACTAATCTCTCCACTTTAACCCTCGATTTCTAGTAATTTTTTACACATTTTCTCAATTTATAGTTTAAATAAATAATTAAAGAAATCAAAGAATTAAACAATATTTATTTATATAATAAATTAAGTATTTTTGTTAATTTTAATTAGTGAGAACAACATAGGTTCAGATGGGGCGAAAGCAGTTGCTTACGAAATAGCTAAATGTACTAATCTCTCCACTTTAACCCTCGATTTCTAGTAATTTTTTACACATTTTCTCAATTTATAGTTTAAATGAAATCAAAGAAATAAACAATATTTATTTAATTAATTAAGTATTTTTGCTAATTTTAATTAGCTCTAACAACATAGGTTCAGATGGGGCGAAAGCAGTTGCTTCCGAAATAGCTAAATGTACTAATCTCTCCACTTTAACCCTTTGGCTTGGGTAATTTTTTACACATTTTCTCAATTTATAGTTTAAATAAATAATTAAGAAATCAAAGAATTAAACAATATTTATTTATTTAATAAATTAAGTATTTTTGTTAATTTTAATTAGGTATAACAACATAGGTTCAGATGGGGCGAAAGCAGTTGCTTCCGAAATAGCTAAATGTACTAATCTCTCCACTTTAACCCTCGATTTCTAGTAATTTTTTACACATTTTCTCAATTTATAGTTTAAATAAATAATTAAAGAAATCAAAGAATTAAACAATATTTTTTTATTTAATTAATTAAGTATTTTTGTTAATTTTAATTAGCTCTAACAACATAGGTTCAGATGGGGCGAAAGCAGTTGCTTCCGAAATAGCTAAATGTACTAATCTCTCCACTTTAACCCTCTGTTTCTAGTAATTTTTTACACATTTTCTCAATTTATAGTTTAAATAAATAATTAAAGAAATCAAAGAATTAAACAATATTTATTTATTTAATAAATTAAGTATTTTTGTTAATTTTAATTAGCTCTAACAACATAGGTTCAGATGGGGCGAAAGCAGTTGCTTCCGAAATAGCTAAATGTACTAATCTCTCCACTTTAACCCTCGATTTCTAGTAATTTTTTACACATTTTCTCAATTTATAGTTTAAATAAATAATTTAAGAAGCAATAGAATTAAACATTAAATATTTATTTGAAAGTACTTCCACCAACTAATAAAAATTAAAATTTGGAAATTAAAAAATGAATAATATTTTTTAAATATTTCGAAATTAAATTTTATTGATTTTGTTTTGTTTATCAGATTAATTTTAGTTTCTATTTTATAAAATTTGTTAAAATAATGCATTTTGATAAAATTAATTTTCTATTTAATTTATTATGAAAAAATAAGATTATTTTCTTTATCATGCATAATAAAAAGAAATGTTTTCAAAGAATTTAAAATTAAATTTGGGAATGAATATCTATCTATGTAATGATAAATTTTATAAAAAATTTGTTAAAATTTTTAAATAAAATAAAGAATTATATGCTCTATTAAAATTTAAAACTTAAAACATTATTTAAAAATTTGCATAATATTTAAAATAAGGATTAGTCATATTAAAAATTATTTCCCTGCAACATATATGAAAAAATTTATTTTTAAAAAATCAAAACTTAAAAAATTTAATTAATTTAGATATGTAAAGGCTAAAATCAACAACAATTATAAGATTAATGAGTATTATTATTAAGGAGAATCTTTTAAATTTATTATTGAGATATTGTTTAAAAAATGAAAAAATGTGATAATTAATGAATTAATTATATTTTATTTAAATTAATTAGAAATAATAATTTAGATGGAAAAATTTCTTTTGAGAGTTACTTTGACAAAGACATTAAGCTAAACATAATAATATGAATGAGTTAAAAATATTAATTAGATAATATTATGATTTATAATAAGTTTATAAATTTATAATTATGAATTTTTTATGAGGTTTGTTTATTTTTTTTAAGTAAAAATAATATACTTAATTAATAAAAAATTAAATTAAAATTAAATAATTTTAATTTCTTAGTAATTAATTGTTTTATAACATATTTAAAGAATTTTACTAAATTTATTTTTTTCTAAATATTTCAAAATTTTATAATGAATGTATTGTCATAATAAATAAGTATTTTTTATCATTTTTATATTTTTAAGAAAAAAAATTACAAAAAAACACACAATAATAAAAAAAAAAAAAATTAAGAAAAATATGTCTTAATTCATTTATATTATGTATTAAATTTAAATAGCATTTTTTTGATATTTATAATAAGAAAATTTAAATTACTTTTTGATTTGAATGAAGATTAATTATATTTTTGAGTAAAGATTTATTATATATTTGAATAAAAATTACTATTTTAAATAAAATGAATGAAGATTCACTTTTAGGACTTTTAATAATATGAACCTCAATGTTTTTACCCATTTCTATTTGGAAATTTCAGATCATTTCTGATAAATTCTAATTTTAAATCGGTTCATTCGGATTTAGAATGAGGTTCAATAGTAATTTTCTATTGGATTATGTGAAAGCCTTATGTTTGGATGAGTTATTTACTCTCAGAATATATAAATTCAAGATTAGCTGAAGATGTAAAATTCTAAAAGTAAAATAGATGGTGATGTTTTTGCTGGTTTCTATCAGATTTAAGAAATTAATTTTGTAAATATTTCATCTACTAATTCTTCTGAAAAAAATTTTAATTGAACTGATTAGCCTGAAAAGAAAAAAATTAGTGCAATTTATTTGAGATTGAATTCAGTAATGAATTAAACATTCATTTGATAAACCTTAAATCTTATCAGATAGAATAATAATTCAGAAATTAAAATATTGAAAATGTAGATAACACTAACTCAACATATAATGTATATTATACAAAAATATAATTTATTTAGTAAGACTAAAAGTTGTATATCAATCGATGCAAATATATATTACAGATAAAAGAATTCTAAGAGAATTTAATGATGATTAATCTAAAATAAATAAATGTAATTACATTAATAATGATGTCAAATAATTTTTTTATTATTTTGAAATATAAATGTTAATTTTCTTTATGTAATCACATGTTATTATTCTCAGCCTTATGATTAAGAACCTAAAAATTTTAATTATTTGTTTAGTTTTAATCTCTTTAAAGAACTCAAGATTTAGTTGTTATCATCAAAAAAATATTTGCAGATAAGGAATGTAGCTAATACTGAATGTATAATCAAAGTAAATGTAATAGTAATATTGCATTTTCGGTACTTACAGCAATGAAGTTAAAAATAATTGTGTAATATGCAATTCAGAAAAGTTTCTTAAGTACTGTGTTTATAATTCCTGCCTAAAAAAACTTTTGGAGAGCTTAAAATTCTTAATTTAATGAAAATTCATTTTATTAATTTAGCCAGCAAAGTTATTAAGATTGGTGATAATAAATACATCAGGATGCGGGAATGATTTATGCTCTGAAGGTTATATTGGAGTTCAGTGTTTATTAATGGTGAGTTTTGGAATTATTTGGATAATAAGACTATTTTTAATTCTTCAAATACAGCTCTCGCTAACATAACAATAAATACTTTTGCTTACTTCTACTTTTGTCTTTTTTATATTTTTCTTCAACATAATAAATAAATAGCATTATCGGAAATAAATTTATAAAGGATATCTTTCATTTTACACTAAAAGTATTTATTTACATTCCAGCTAGCTTAATAAGAAAACTAGGCTTCCATTTATAAAAATACCATTCAAAAATCTAGTTGTTTGGAAACGACTAGACAATTAAATGCCATTTTATTACAAATATTTGTTTTTAATTCATTTTTTAGCTT